ACCAGCTTGTGCCCCAAAAGTGTCCCCACCAATCTCAGCCAACCTTACACTGGCACATTCTCTGAGCAATCTCTGGTCGCGAGATTCCTGTGCTTAAACCTGCAAGGGAAGAGACTCTTTTCAGGGTTCGAATGCTCCCCCTGGTTGGCGCCCATCTATATGAAATGGCGGCCACCCAGGGGAGCACTACTTGATTACTTCCCTTGCGGTTTCACACTTATGTAGCCAGTGTGAATGTTCTGATTAATTGGTGGGAGTGTTCTAATGGGGCACTGGGGAGGTCCTTGTTTGGGAGACGAACGAGTTGGGAAACAATCCACGAACGCTCCCCCGTCTGGTGTTCGTCTATACGAAATGTTGGCAACGCAGGGGAGCTCCCATTAATTGCTTCCCTTGCTGTTTAGCAACTATGTTAGAGATGTGAATGTTCTAAATAGCGTTCTAAATGGCATATTGGGGAACAGGGAGTACATAGGGAAACACAAGTAAAACACTCCATACCAGGGGAAAGCACCCGAACAAGCAGTGGTTCTGCCACCGTGGTTATGAGTCCAGTCCTAGAATTTCTGCCTAAAGTGATATTTGTTCCATCTCAATGAGAATCTAAATTGTGACAGAAATGCCTCTACCACGTGTTCTTGGAGGGGTCTGGTTGCCAGCCTCCTGCCAAAAGACTATGGGCCCTGTAAAAACCATGTGAAAAGACTTTGCAATGACTCTATTTTGTTCGTGAACCGAATAGGCTCACAAACCAGAGACCACCCAGGAGCTTGTTAAGCCCAATTGACCGTTTTGTAACACTTTCTACTGCAGTGTTCGTCTGGGTGGCCGCATTTCGTATGAACGACTGTGAGATGGCGGCCATCTTGTTCCCGCAAACTCAGGCAGCGGTGTTTTCGGCATGAATCTCATTAAACTGAAGTAGTACACAAATTCCAGAACACAGCTGGAATTCCAGCATCGCCTGCGTTTGGTTCTACACAACTTAGAAAGCACTATTCGGTGGAAACGTTCCCACGAACATAGGGGACCGGCTACACAAGTAATATAAGGATTCCATTAGGTGTTTTATGTACTTTTGTGCCCCTGAAAAGACAGACCGTTGGCTCTGATTCCCTGGAACTGTTTTGGCCATAGGACTATGTGCATGGTCGGTCAAATAATTGACTTCCATGAAAATCCTGAACCGATCTGGGTGAATTTTAAATATGTTGGTCACCCTGATCGGGGATATCAGGGTATGTGACTTTTATTGGGTTTTCATGTTTTTTGGGGTGCTTTTGGGATTTGTTAAATTGTATGTTTCTTGTACTGGAGAGATCATTTAATTATGTTTGTGTGCTCAATTATTATCTCTTAGGCACAGGGGAGGAGTGTGTGGAACGTGTGCTTGTAACTAGTCTCCTCTCCGGTCCAGTGGGGAATGCCCCTGGAATGTTATTAAGGAAACCCCTTGCATGGGGAGTTACATAAAAGGCTGTGTGTGGCTCGCATTAAACCAGATGATATCCCAGCATAGAGCCTGGTCTCATTTTTGGAGGGAAATTGCTATAATATCACTAGCTCTTGTAAGAGCTACACTGTCCAACTCTCTTGGAGGAGAGGTCTTCTCACTGGGAGCTGGATGCAGAAGTTTGGTCCAGGGTGAAAAGGGACAGCAAGACCCCAGCCAAGCTACGGCAGCTAAAGGGCTACAGTGGTTTTGGTGAAGTGCTTTGGGTACTTGGCGACAGCTAGGAAGCATGATTGGCGGAGGTACACCGTCGGGCTGTCAGGCAGTCCGCCACAATTCTCTCTCCCCCTCCCCCCCCCTTACTGCCCTTGTTCCTCCGAAGTGGGAGATCTTCTTCATAATTTGGATGTCATACACTCTTTCAGCATACTCCTGAGAGAGCAAAAAAATTTTCAGGAAATCAAAGCGACTGTTTGTTATACCAGTGGGAAGACTTATTTAAACATTTTAAAGGGACACTATAGTCAGCAACAGATCAGGGGCAGAGGCAGCAGCTGCAGACTTGAATACAATTAATATTTTACTATCTTTAGGGAGACTGGAGGGGGGGAGGGAGGGGGTAGATGGTGGTTTTAACATTATAGGGTCAGGAATACATGTTTGTGCTCCTGACCCTATAGTGTTCGCTTAACGCCGTTACGGCGTTCTATGCCGTCCCCATTATAATGGGGTTTAAGCCCCCAGGAGCTCCGCCAAGATCCTTTTCTGGAGGACTGCCTTACAGCCCAGACAGCCCTCCCACGGAAAATCTGGCCCCTTATAGCTGGCTGTGGATCTGCCAGCAGGAAGACTGTCTGGACTGTCACAGTCCCCCTGCTGGTGGGAAGTATAAATAAAATATTAAAACTATTTTAAAGTGTGTAACGTCATATGTAGTGTATTTTAATGTTTAATTACATATATTAGTAATACACTTAGAATGATGATATATATATATATATATATATATATATATGTGTGTGTGTGTAGATATAGATCGACTTATTATTTTGTAAAAAATAAATAAATTTTAGAGCCAATACTGATAACGTTCAGGCCGATAACTTACCGATATTCTGTACATTTATCATTTAAGAAAAATATTTCTAAAGGTAAATGCCCAAAATATACATGTCACATGTAGTGGATGCAATGTGTTTAGACAGGGGAGCTGTGTGTGTGTTTGTGTAGTGTGTGTGTATAGTGAATGCAGTGTGTGTGTGTGTGTATATAATGAATGTAGTGTGTGTGTGTGTTTCTGTAGGTATGTAATTTGTGTAAAATTGGTGAGCGGGGGCATTTTTTATTTAAATTTTTTTTTTTTTTTTGCTTGTTACCTGGCTTGGCAGGGGGTATATGGCATTCCCTGGTGGTCCAGTGGCATGGACTGTGTAGTGGGGGCCCAGCAAGCTCTTCCCTTCAGCTCCCCTGTCTAACTCTCGCGGTGTGGCAACGCTCTGACAGCCGCCAGACTCGCAAGATTTACACAGGGGAGCTGAATGGAGCTGCTGGGAAGGTAAGTAAGAGTTTGCTGCGGGCCCTCCAGGACCACAGGGCTTGTAATGGGCCCGGCGGTCCTGGTATGTATTATCGGCAATATCTGTATCTTTATTGGCCGATACCGATATTGCCGATACCGATATTGCCGAAAATACCGAATATCGGCCAGACCCTAATATATACTTATAATAACAATTCTAAATAAAATATATATAATTTAAAATTAAAATAAATTATATATTTTTATATAATTTTATTCTAACTGTATTTTGTTATTAATGTAAATACACTTAGGATGACATTCTATATATAATATAAATAACAGCGCATATATATATGTGTGTGTGTGTGTGTGTGTGTGTGTGTGTGTGTGAGAAACAAGGGGGGTTGGCTGCACTCACCTGAACATGCATAAGTTTAGAGAGAGAGATATATATATATATATATATATATTAGTTAATACAATGCTAAACAAAAATCTGCACACCAGTCAAGCCATAAGACTTGCTTTTCCCACAGAAATCCCAAATCAGCAGTGATGTTACAACCGCAAAGGATTCTGGGCGGGCATATGCAAATTAGTTTAACGAAGAATCACATTTTTGCCTCATTCCATTTTAAACATGGATTCCTTTTAATTTGTGTTTGCAGTATACAACTGCTTGGAACACAATTTAGGATAAGATGCAAAACCAGTGAACCACTCATGGACAGCTGTTTCGTTGTTAATGCAACTCTTCAGCATGAGGTTGGTTACTGGTTTGCTTAGTGAGGCTTGGTAGTGCTTGGGAAGCAAAATCCAAAGAGGTTATGGTGGGGAAAAATTGTGATTGAAAACCCCTTCCACCTGAAGTATGTGGATAGTTAATACAATGCTAAACAAAAATCTGCACACCAGTCAAGCCATAAGACTTGCTTTTCCCACAGAAATCCCAAATAAGCAGTGATGTTACAACCGCAAAGGATTCTGGGTGGGCATATGCAAATTAGTTTAACAAAGAATCACATTTTTTGACTCATTCCATTTTAAACATGGATTCCTTTTTTATATATATATATGTGTGTATGTATATGTATGTGTGTGTATATATATATATATATATATATATATATATATATATATATATAATGTATGTGTGTGTGTATATATATATGTATATATATATATATGTATGTGTATATATATATATATATATATATATATATATATATATATATATATATAATGTATGTGTGTGTGTATATACACTATTATCCAAGTAGAGAGCACTCTGGAGTCTTCGTTTTATATCAAAATAAATACTGCTTTATTGTGCAGAATACAAAAATGTCGACGTTTCAGTCACAATAGACTTTTCTCAAGACCATATATATTGTGTGTTTACATAAGTATACACGTAGAATTTAAATACATATATGTGTATATATTAAAATTCTACGTGTATATTTAGGTAATCTTTTAACATAACTGTGATTTAATTAATTAAAATTTGATTAACGTGCCTGACATCCCAGGCAGAAAGTGCAGAGAATTTAATACACAAGCACTATATTTAACCCTGTAACTTTCCAAGACACCATAAAACCTGTGCATGGGGGGTACTGTTTTTTATACTCTGTAGACTTCCCTGAACACACATATTAGGTTTTTTATTTTTTTATTTTTTTTATTCAAAAATGATAAATTGTATTACGATAATATTTCAGTAAAAGTGAAGTTTTTTGCATTTTTCACACACGAACGACGCTTTTACTGACTATATTATTGTTGTAATGTGTTTCACAGTTTTGAAACACTTATTTTTTTTTAAACACCCAAGTATAACAGTACCCCCCATGTTTAGGTTTTATTGTGTTTTGGAAAGTTAGAGAGTCAAATCTAAGGCTTGCATTTCATTTTTTTCACATTGAAATTTGCCGGTTTGGTAATGTTGCCTTTGGGACCGTATGGTAGCCTAGAAATGAGAATTACTCCCATAATGGCATACCATTTGCAAAAGTAGACAACCCAAGGTATTGCAAATGGGCCATGTCCAGTCTTTTTTTTTTTGTCTTTTTTTTAGTAGCCACTTAGTCACAAACACTGGCCAAATATTTGTTTGTTTTTTTTGTTGCTTTTTTTTTTTCACACAAAAACAAATATGAACGCTAACTTTGGCCAGTGTTTTTGACTAAGTGGCTACTTAAAGACTGGACATACCCCACTTGCAATACCTTTGAGCATGCGCGACGGGGGCGACCTAATTGCCGCGCACTCGCATTAGACCTCCCCATAGGAAAGCATTGAATAATGCTTTCCTATGGGGATTTCGGTGACGCTGGATGTCCGCACATAGCGTGAGGATGTCCAACGTCGTTATAACACACTTTTTGTGTTCTATGAACACTGAAGTGTCCTCTAGTGGCTGTCTAGTAGACAGCCAGTAGAGGAGGACTTAACCCTTCCAGGTAAATATTGCAGTTTATGGTTTATGAAAACTGCAATAATTACACGTTAAGGGTAGTGGGAGTTGGCACCCAGACCACTCCAATGGGCAGAAGTGGTCTGGAGTGTTCCTTTAATTAAATTCATTAAAAAGTCTAATATTAATAAAATTATAGGAAAACACTTTTAAAAAAGTCCTTTCCGTTTTCTGTTTAGGTTTTCGTCCAAGGGCATCCTGACTTTTCGGTTTCGGCCCAGAATTTTTATTTCAGTGCATCCCTACTCACAACAAAACGTTAGACGTGCCAATACATCCTGACATCATCAAAACCATTATAGATCGGACATAGTAACACATCCATCACTAAACTGTTAAATCACTTTGTTTTTGCATCGCCTAGCCACACCCCCTCTGCACACTCTTCCTGTAAAGAGAGCTAATATTTATACTTCCTTTATTGCACAGTCTGTTAAACATAGAATTTCTTCTCTCCTACTCTGCCAGAGCATGCAATAGTCTTGTGCTTGGATTAAAGTTTATGTAAAAGAGCAGGTTATAAGAACTTCTAAATAAAACTGTGGCATACATTCCAAAGCCAACACACAGAGGCCTCTCTATGACCTGAATTGGAGAAAGTATGGGAGGCATGACCAGACCAGCAATATGGGCATGGGGAGGGATGGTGGCATAGGAGTATGGTTAGTGCATAATTACTGTCAATGAACATCCCAGTGCAGCATGCGGTACACACCTATTACTCTGTGTATCATTGAAACCCTTTTTGTTGGGTTTTCCATCTTAAAATAAAACCATTAATTATTATGGACCGTTTTCAAAAAATAAATAATAGTAGATGTGTCACTTTGAGATAAATATGTTGATTTCCTGTTGCAGTTTGGGCACCCAGACTCAGAGATTCGTCATAACTGTCCTGTAAAACCTAAATCTACTTTTCATGGAGGGTGTTAGTTACTGCCAGGCGAGGTGCAGCTAGAACTACATGAACAGAAAAGAGATTTAACACCCACATGGGAGACAATTGAGCAGTGATACTGTAGGTGCCTGATCTTTACACCAAAAATGGCCTGTTAGGCTAACGTTGTTTTGGTTCTTAAGAATATACCTTTTTACACCAGGGCTTGACAAATCCCAGAGGCCCCTGAGGTGACCGGTTTCCCGAGATTGAATGGGGGTAAGCGGCTCAGGCAGGCGGATGGTCAGCTCATTGAGAGCTGAGGGATGGAGGTGGGCAGTGGAATGAGTGCGGCGAGGGAGCTGTAATCTCCTTGCTCTGCTCCCTTGTGCGCCCTCCAGTGATGCTTGAAGCCGGAAACGCCACAGCTGGCCCCACCTCTATTGCGGAGATCAAACTTGTTGATCTCCGGCAATCCAATGCTTACCCATAAAAAGACGTTGGGAGACCATTTCGCATGTGCGGTAGAACGCCATGTTGTGCAATCAACTTCTCCTCATAGAGATGCCGTGAATCAATGCATTCCTATGAGGAGCATTAATGTAGGTGCAGCACATACCCGGGAAGCACTTCTAGAGGCTGTCTGAGTGACTGTAACTAGAGGTGTTACCAGTCTGCAATCTAAACCCTGCCTTTAGTCTGAAAAGTCAATGTAGGGAAAGTATATAAACTCCAGAACAATTACATTAAGCTGTAGTGGTTCTGGTGACTATAGTGTCCCTTTAAGAATTGTAATTTTGATGTTGAAAAATCTGGCTCCTAATTTTTTATTTTTTTAAACTGGCTCCTAGATCTCAAGTAAATTTGTCAAGCCCTGGGTTACACATACTGTAAATGGACAACATGTTCAACCCATATAAAATAGAAGTTATACCACCAACTCCTTAAAGGAACAATATAGGGTCAGGATGTATTCCTCCCTCTATAGTGTTAAAATCACTATCTGGCACCTCTCACCCTCCTAAATATTGTGAAATCTTAATTTATTCCCAATCTGCCAGCGCTAGCTCTGCCTCTAATCCGGCTCCTTGGCTGACATCAGAAGTGATGAGGCCATAGGAAAGCATTGGATTGCTATTGTCGCGGAGGTCGGCTGGGGCGGTGCCAAACACCAAGCCTCTCTATTGGTAACGTTTAGTGTCTCCATGCAGAGGGTAGAGACTTTGAACATCCAGCACTGTCCCAGGAAGCATCTCTAGTGACCGCTGGAGGTGTCCCTAGGGAGCAATGTAAAAACCGTCTTTTCTCTGAAAAGGCAGTGTTTTAGGGATCGAGCGATTATCGGTCTGGCCGATATCAGCCGATATTCGGTATTTTCGGCAATATCGTATCGGGCAATTCAGATACTGATATTGCCGATAATCTATAACAGGACCGCCGGGCTCATTACAAGCCAGGGAGGGGGGATATGTTAATCCCTGGTGGTCAGAGCGTTGCCACGGGCTACCATGGCAACGCTCCGCACGGCACACAGGCCGCAAGATTTACGTTGGAGGAGCTGCTGGGAAGGTAAGTAACAGCTTGCTGCCGGCCCCCATTGCTCAGTACATGCCACTGGACCACCAGGGATTAACATATCACCCCTCCCTGGCCAGGTAACAAGCAGGGAGGGGACAAAAATAAATAAATAATAAAAAAAAAAATATATATATATATATATATATATATATATATATATATATATATATATATATATATATATATATATATATATATATATATATATATATATATATATATATATATATATATATATAATTTATTTTTTTTTAAGTTTTTTTCTTAAAAAAAAAAATGCCCCCTCAATTACATACATACACAAACACACACACTATTATATACACATACACTGTGTATATAATGCAGTGTGTTTATATAATGCAGTTTGTGTAGTGTGCATTATATAAACACACTGCATTATATACACACTACACAAACACACTATGTATAGTGGAAAATTTATTCATACTTACCGTAATTTTCTTTTCCTGGCTATTATTCATGGCAGCATATACACATGGGTTAGCTCCTCCCCTACAGCCGATAGGACAGGAAAACCACCAAGGTTTTAAAAGGAGGCTCCATCCCTAAGGTCCTCAGTCAGTTTACAAGCTCTACAGTACATAAATAGAGACATTAATGGGAGGGAAGTATATGCTGCCATGAATAATAGCCAGGAAAAGAAAATTACGGTAAGTATGAATAAATTTTCCACTTTCCTGGCTAATCATGGCAGCATATACACATGGGGAATACCCAAGCTTACAAAGGGAGGGACAGAATAGCCAATCAAATTATCAGAATAATTCAACATAGATAGAAGAATGAACTGAGTTAAGTACTTGAGTACCAAATTGTGCATCATAGACTGTTTTAACGAACAGTATGAAATGCCAGACAAACGTGTCTAAAGGAGGTTCAAATGCTAGCTTACAAAAAGTGTCAGCAGAAACCATTGCCATGGCAACCCATGATGCTGCAACAGCATGAGAGGAGAGTGCCCTGATACCCTCCAGCACAGGTAGAGAACGGACGTGACGTCCAAATTGTGCCTCGTTAATTGCTTCAATGTCCAATATGTAATGCAGGACAAACTAGTTCAAAGAGGTCAAAATGCCAACTTTACAAAGTTTCAGCAGAGACCATTGCCATGGAAGCCCACGAGATGCTGTAACAGCACTAGTGGAGAATGCCCCAAATCCTTCGCTACAGGTAGAGAACGGCATTGAAAAGCTCTCACTTTGGGCACGATCACTGGTGCTACGTGCATGACAACCATCTCCTGTTGAAATTCAGTGAATGGGGGTACACAGGATCAAGCCTGGAGTTCACCCATTTCCCTTGCTGGGGTGCCAGCCACCAGCACTGTCTGTGCTACCACCATGGAAGCTCCTTCTAGAGGTTCGAATAATGGTTCAGTCAGGGCCCGTGAGACCAGTGGTACATCATATATTGGCTTCACCACACTCAGTGGAGGCATGATTTCAATCAATGCCTATATGAAGCAAAGTGCAGCAAGTGCACACATTCACCCTGCTGAGGTACCAGTCACTAGCAACAGCAACAGCAACGTCTGGGCTAACATCATGGAAGCTCTTGCTAGAAGTACAGTCAGAGTCTGTGAGACCAGTGGTACATCACATATTGGTTTCAACACCCTCAGCGGAGGCTTGAGTTCAGTTGTTGCTTACATGAAGCAAAACACCAGGGGCATCAACGCTCAATCGGTACCCTTCAGTACAGGTAGAGAATGACATAGATAAGCATTCACCAAAGGCAGGATCTTCAGGTGCCAAATGCAAGACGATCATATCTGTTGAAAAGTAGTGAAAGGGGGTTCTCACAGGACCAAGCCTGGAGTTCACCCATTATTCTTGCTGGGGTACCAGCCACCAGCACTTTCTGTGCTACCACCATGGAAGCTCCTTCTAGAGGTTCGAATAATGGTTCAGTCAGGGCTCGTGTGACCATTGGTATGTCACATATTGGCTTCACCACACTCAGTGGAGGCATGATTTCAATCAATGCCTATATGAAGCAAAGTGCAGCTAAGTGTTCCTCTAGAGTGTTATAACACAGAACCTTTCAAGGCCTGAACGAGGAGTAATTCCAACAGACAAAAGCATGTCAAGCTTAGTAAAGCCTGTATAGGATTGTAAGAGGATCTCAATGACCGTCTCAGGGATGCCTATACTAATATGGACTCCCGCATCAACACCAGAACTTGAGGATCCTGGTGTGTCATGGGGCCTTGTAATAGGTCTGGACGTACAGGAATTTCCCTTGGAGGTTCCAGAATCATCTTATTCATCATAGGAAT